AGGGTCCAATTTTTTCACCAACTGTAAATCCTTTATTAGAGATTATTGTTGAGTAAAAAGACAAAAAAAAAAAAAAATAGCTGGAAGCTCGATTTTCCTAGTACAGACCCCATATCTGGACATGAGTGTAGAATCGCACTAATCAACGCATCTTTGATTTTTAAACCTTCCAATCTGAGATGTATCATCTTGGCACAATAGGTTGGCTTTATCTTTCCACACATAACTCTTTCGAAGTTTATCAATTGCCGAGTAAGAACTTGAGGCATCTTACGACCACGCCGACCTCTCTGATAATCTTTTTCTGTAAAAAACTCAATTCGTCACCATAGAATAGGAGTGGAACAGTGGTACCAAAGCCTATTAACTAAGAGAGTTGGGTAAAGCGATTTATCTTTTGCTAGATATGAGAAAATAATTTCAAGTAATTCGGGTAAATCAAAAATATTTAGACCCTTTGGGTCATTGCTCCGCAATAGTTGCGCCATTCTCAAATTGTATATTATATATCTTTAATCGAAAAAAACAACTAATGTTCGGATAATTAATTTTAGGTGGATATATTATGCATTATCCAGATATTCTCAATTGTACTTAACCTCATAACTAGTTCCATCGAGCAATGTAAGAGTTTTATTTGGGAAGTCCAGTTTCATTGGTAACAAAAACATTGGTAACTTTTACTTGCTTTGATTCATTATTTTTGGATTGAAAAGAGGGATTTATTTTATGGAGCGTCCCTAATATTGGTAGCCTATCTCCTGTAGTCTCACAAAGTGAGGATGTTATTGCATCTAATATAATCGTACCAATACTGGTACATCCAGAGCTTACTTAGATCCAATACTGCAGAGCCTACATATATTGGTTTATTCAGCAGTACTTTTTCCTTACCTAAATGAACTGCACATAGGTTATCATTAAAAGCTCTGAAATCTTTGCATCTGGGTTTGCTTATATTCTTGATTACAGCTCGTTCTGATTGCCAATTCGGAAATATCTCTAGCCAAAAAAAATAACTAACGATTATTTATCTATTTCCATTATATCTACTATTACCCGCAATCCATGATGAGTAACCAAGAAAAAATTTGCCGATATCAATAAGTCCTGATATAATAGCTTTATAGGTCTTTTTGATTCCAAGTTGAATCGGATCACATTTCTGCTAACATCAAATCTATTTCCGCAATTTGGGTAACAAAAGGAATATAATGCTCTCTGTGCACTTCCTTCGAAAGATCATTATTCTTAGGCTGAGATTTAGGTTCGGGTTCAGTATTAGTATCAGGATTGGTATCAGAATCAGAAGAAGTATCACCCTCAGCATAATAAGTTCCGGAATCAAAACGGTCAATCTTATGTCTCATTGCAATTCTACAAAGTAAACTAAGATGTTGGACTGTTGGATTTCGACTACCATGAACTCTAGAAGCATGTTTACTCCCTATTTTTCTCAATCTTTTGGCGGTAATACCATATGCATTTAAAAATTTGCTAAATGCTCTAATATTGCGTTTTCCATTATCACTATATACAGGATCATGTAACTTTCTGGTTGCTATGGCATCTTGAATCCAAGTAAGCAATTCTCTTGCACGTTCTGGATTCTTTTCCATGGAAAGGAATTGCCGAGGCTCAGGATTAACCTTCTTTTCTCCCTTATTCTTAACATGTCCTGTACAATACCAATAATAACTGAGTTTGTACCATTCTGGAGGGTCTGATGAGTCGGGAACTTGAAGCTTGGCTTCTTCATTGGGTTCATAATGGATAATACGAAGAGTAGTAACTTCAGCGGGTCTCATGCTCAACATCATAATCACATCCACAAGATCCTGCATAGTGGGAATTTTAGTAGTATCGATATTTTGGATTCTTCCAAGTCCCACCTCTAAGGAGAAGTGTTTAGGGGTTTTGGGCGAATTGGGTAATCGCTGTACAAGTTGCTTCTTCTGAATTTCGTTAGATGCTTGAGTAAGATCTGAAAATTTAGCATATTTATCAATTACTTTAGAATCAACTCCAGCTTCTTTTAATTCCTTACGGAATAATGTAAGACGTGAGCTGGATGCAACAATTTCTTCATCACTCGTTTTTTGTCTTGATTAAATCTAAAGCATGTAAGTAAATATCATATGGATCTCCAGATTTCGCACAGTATTGAGCTCTCTCTTTGATAGTAAGTTTTTCATTCCTTTTATCAGGTACAAGAGCCTTGATCTGGTCTTCTTTGAATAAGCGTCGGCGAAGAGCTTCTTTCACACTTTTGCGAGCTATCCAATCTGGTAACATGGCACCAAGTTCACTAGCATAGACACGTAATTGAGATGGGCTAGATTCAGTGGACAAGTTATATTTTTCTAGGAACAGGTCCAAAATCGAGGTAAAGTTATTAGTTCTGGGCTTTCGGGTTTTTGAGGCAGTTGCCATGATCATATTGATAATATATTTGACAAGTAGATCGTGATTATCTATTGACCTACTTATTCTTTCAAATTCGAAATTAATTACCCAATCCTTCATTTATAGATCTCAGGAGATATGACTGTCTTATCCATGGATGAAAAAGTAATAAACCTAGACTATAGTTCGTACCCAGAACCTGGCAAGTCCGGTATACGATTCTTAAGTACATCAATCTTTGCATGTAATTCAGCCTGCTTTTTTTGATGATAATATTCTCTTTTTCGATACTTACTGGCATGATTTCGGCATGCACCGTATGTAGAATATGTTCACTTATCACATTCTTTGCAAGGAATCCATGTTGGAGAATTCTTATGAATTTTACATACTTCTGGTTGACGACAACCTCGATCACAAACTTCACCAGTTCTATGAATATAAGGACAATGATAAAACCCCATATTTATTTTAATAATAATTGTTAATTATTTATATATAATTTTCAGGAATAATTAATTTCATTTTAAAGTTTTTTCAGTTAAGTATAATACTTTTAGTGTACAAACAACATCGCATATATCTGCAAAATGTTTCATACAAGTCTTCTAATGAGGAAAAAAAACTTCTATATGAATCATTACAACAACAGCACCAAAGCCAAAAATTGGCTGAATATGGCGAGGCAAAGAAACTCCTCTCTGGTTTAACTGATCTTAATTACGAATCTGGCCATGGAGAACATATGTATTATAAATATTTGCTTGGATCCAATGATAAAAATGATACAGCACTTTTAGAGGCATACCAACCCGAAGAGATTTATTCTCGATATATAGTCCGGGTGGCAGAAAAAGGCTTTACAGTAATTGATCATCCTTCCGAAATTTATGGATTTCCTGATGCACATGAATGTATTGATGGAAATCAGCCCCTTCGTCCAATACTCGATATTGATGCAAGGCAAAAACCTGATTCCATGAATCCGGAACTTCCTTCTTTAGATGGTGAAAAAATTACTCGTGAAGATTTGATGTCTAGAATATTAATTGCCTGTGCAGATGCATTGTATCTTATACCCGATTGTATGGTTTCATTAAATAATTTTGCTTTAGCTAGTTCATCTAATATGGATAAATGTAGCTGGCATATTATTTACCCTTATGTACAATTTATTGATTATAGAGATCTCAAAGGCTTTAACAGAAAAAGTTATTGAATTAGTTGGAAAACCTTACTCGAAGTTCATTGATATTGGACTTCCCAAATCACGTTTTAGTCTCCGACTTCTTGGATCAGCAAAAGAAGGCAGAGTTAAAAGACCTGCGATCTCTTCAGCTAAAAATAGATTTCACAAGTTAGAAAATTATTTGGTTCAGCCTAAAGCGAATTATTCTGTAATCTGGCCACGGACTTTTTCTTCTGAAAAACCAACCGAGAAATTCCTGCCTATCGAAGATGAAGATGCCCTTATCAAAGGTGCTAATTTGGTTATTGCAAAATATGAATGGCTTGAGATCGGGAAAAATGGAAAAGGGTTGATTAACTTTCAAGCACAATTACCTAAAGGATGTCCTATATGTGAGATTACACATGAAAAAAATCAATTATACGGATTTCTTCTGAAAGATGGGCGTTTTATACTCAAGTGTTTTCGGCAAAAACAACATAAACCAGATCACAAGGGATTGGTATTTGGCAAAGCATCAAGAGTAGTTGAGTCACCTAAAATGAAGTATTGTTGAAAGAATAGCCAATGCTGTATCAAATCTGCATCCACTTCCTGAATTATCCGGAGAAATTATTAACGTGAAGGAGATGGAGGATGCACCAGAAGCTTATCCAGATTTCTTGAGCGAAAAATCCAGTACAACTCTTATCCGCTCTCCTATGATGACAGGAAAAACAAAAGGTCTAAGAAAAAATCTCAATTCTTTAGCCAGAAGTGGTGCCAAGTTACCTTGTTTCATCTGGGTTTCTTATCGAAAAAGTCTTAGTAATGAATCACAAGGCAAAATTAATGAACTTAAATCGTTAGGGTTCAAAATCTGTAATTATCAAGACGAACAGAACTTATCTATAGATAAATGGGATGTTATTATAGTCCAAGTTGAAAGCCTTTCTCGTGTCGAATTTTCAGCCCGTCCAATTGTGGCTATTTTAGATGAAGTCAATGCAATTCAACGCCAAATGAATAGTGGTGCAAATGCAAGAGAATCTGAGAATGCAATGCGAGATTTGTTGAAGTCTGCTGTTCACGTTTTAGCCATGGATGCGTTCGGAAACAAGTCAGCATTGGCCTTTCTCAAAGCTTATCGCGGTGAAAATATCCGAGTAATAGATAATAAATTTCAGCCCCTTATAGGTAAGACTATTGAATATCTTCCTGATCCAAATAATGGAGCTGAAGCTATGCGAATAGGGTTTGAGTTTTTGAAGCAAGGTAAATGCGTGGCATTTGTTGTAACAAGCTCTAACATGGCTCGAGGATTAGTAAAAAAGGCTTCTAAATTATCTTTTAAAGCTTGCGCCTATTATGGAGATATGGATGGAAAACAACGAAAAAAAGACTTTTTAGATATTAATACTGCTTGGGGCGAACTCGATTGTGTAGCTTATACAAACACAGTAGAAGCAGGTATTTCTTTCGAGAAACCTAATCACTTTGACATAGTTATAGGCATTACAAATATTGAAACTCCAGTTAATGTCGAAGCATTTATCCAGATGATGTTCAGAATTCGTGATTGTGAAAAGCAGTGGGAACGACATAATTATGTCGTTCCCACTTAGTCTAGGTTATTCCCCCTCATCTGTGACGTGTGTTTTGCATTTGCCTCGTCATTCGAGTGACGTGAGTTTTGCATTTGCCTCGTCATTCGAGTGACGACAAAAATTCGAACGCGTCATCATTCAAGACTGTGGCTAATTTTTGTATATCGGATTGGTGATCCCGGGTGATTTAAAATACAAGGTGCTTAGTGAGTTAGGTTATGACGGAGTGACGTGTGTTTTGCATTTGCCTCGTCATTCGAGCGCAGTCGATCGCAAAATTCAAGTCATGATGAATAGATGGCTTGTATACCCTTTTGAAAGTCAAATTCGATATCAATAATGTTTTAATCACTTATATAATTTTTCGTATATCGGTTTATTGTTTCTGATCGATTTCCGTTATAAATAAATCTCCGAATTAGGTTATGACGTAGCATCATAGTCCTTCTGTGTTTTCTATTATAACCCAAATTCGATAGCATTATTTGTATACCGATTTGATAACCGTGACTGATTTCCATTGCAATAAAATAACTGAGGTAGGTTATGCTACCGGGTTAGCTTCATCGCGAGTTTGATGGGTCAAATACATTTTATGCGTCATTTGTGAAGGCATATAGCCAGAGTATATGCTATCTAGTGTGTTATATACATGCTATCTGGTTACGCTATCGAGTATATTACATATATGCTATCTGAACATGTATGTGACCTATGTCACGTAAATGCTATCGATTAATACTATCGGGTATGTCAGCTATGCTATCAAAATGTAATCACTTATGTTAACTACCCTAGAATGCATTTAAAATGGATCTGCTCGTGTCCTAATAAAAAATCCGTCCCGGTTTTGTCCTAGTAAAAAATTGTTAACTGGGACGAATTCAATATAGGAGAAAGATTTAATATCCTTTTTTATCTTGTTCTTTTATATTTATTATATATCCGTCCTAGTTGTCCTAGTAAAAAAGTAATAATCTGGGAAAAAAATAAAATTTATCTACCCATGATACATTTATAATATACATATGATATATACATATAATATATACTATCTATACCTATAGATAAAAAAAGAGAAAAAAAAGTAAGAAGATTGAGATTTTACTAGGACAACTAGGACAACTGGGACGGGTAGTCTAAAACTCTTTCGTTTGGCTTGAAATTACCAGCAGGTATATTTTTTTCTGTCTTAGCTTACGTCCTAGAAAAAAATTCGTCCTAGTTGGAACTTCAAAAAATATAGGTATCCAGGATACCCACATATGTATATTAATTTTCCTTTACCTCAGGTGATGCAGAGCATCGAATTTCTAATTCCCTACCTTGTGCCATCTTCTCCAGCTTTTTCTGTTGATATCGACCCCGTCTTCGATATTTATCTGCATGAGTATCACAATAGCCATAATCAGAATAAGTTGACTTACCACATTCTTTGCAAGGCACACGAATAGGTGAATTTCGGTGAACTTTGCACCCGTTTGGGTGATAACACCCCCGATCACATACTTTCCCACTTCTAAGGATATAAGGACAACGATAAAATGCCATATTTATATGATTTTTAATATAATAATTATTATCTACTGATAACTATTCTTTAGAATTAATTTTCATTTGAACTTTTTTTTCCGGAATAATATACTAGCAGTATAACATACTTACTATGAGTACCCAAAATTTCCAAGAAACCATCGATCACGTGCCAGCAGAATCAGAAGCACCGCCTTCTCGACCAGAGAGCCCAGAAAACTCGGAAACTTTCGAGCCAGAGATAGAGGAAGAAAATAACGGGGCGTTCTACCACCGGGGGTTTAAAGCCGAGAGTGTAGCCGAATATCTATATAAATTCCGCGATGATAGTGTAAAGCCAAGACAATTTCTCGGTACAGATTCCGAAGATGGAATAGAAGCTATACTTAGTGAACGGCAAGGACATTCATTACACGAATGCATTGATGGCGATGACCCACTTCGTCCCTTTATCGATTTTGATTTACCTAGAGAAAAATTTGATAAAATCGAACCCAAGCTTACAGCTAAAGAAATACTGGATTTACTTTGCCGTGCCTTTTCAAGAACCTGCAGAGAAATATACCCAGAATGGAATTCCCATACTTTAACAATTGCTAGTAG